AAGCACCAGTAGTGCAGGAAGTCAAGAAAGGTAGAAAGAAATCTAAGTCATCAGTTTATAATGACACACCAGAGTATGAAAATAGACAACGAATAGAAAAAGAACGAAAAAGGAAACGGTCACTAAAAGAAAACAAATCCTCATTAAAGTCGGCAAAAGGAAGTTTAGTGAAAACTCATAAAAAGCGTAATGATGCAAGCTCTAGTGAGTGTAGTGTTTGTATGTCATCTGGAGAGTCGTCAGGCGAAGAAGATTTTTGGGAGAATTTAAGTGCTCGTAACAAAGAAGACAAGGTTGTTCTTGGAAATTTTGTTTTGGTCAAATTTATTACCAATAAAACCGAAGTTCATTAGGTTGGTCAAATCATTTCTATAGATAACGAAGAATTCGAAGTGAAATTTTTAAGAAGAAAAGGAAAATCCAACTGCTTCCTCTTTCCTGATATAGACGATTTTGCACTAATATCTTTTAATGATATTGTGGCAGTTTTACCACATTCTACCGTCCAAGGAACATCAAGAACATCTAGTGCCTATAAGTTTAACGTAAATTTTTCCTCTTTGAATGTACGTTAAAATTAGTGTCTAAGTTCTAATAGATGTATTACCTATACTCGTAGTACCTATGTCCTGTTTTTTGTTCAAAATATTTTGAATTAGTTTTGTTCATTTGTTACTATGCATTAAACACTTATTTTACTGATGTTTGTAACTTATTTGAGTTAGTTTGAGTTTAAGCTTGAAGTAGCCGAAACATCCCAGAGTCCTAGATGAATGATCACCACCGGTGGGCATGATTCGGCTATTTACATTAAAAGTAAAAACTGAAAAAATACTTGGACTTGGTTAAGCAGAAATCTGCCTGTGCGCCTTATCAATACACAATACTACCACAAATTCATCGAGACACTTATAATTCTTTTTTTTAGAGGTTTTCAAAAGTTAGTGATTTAAATAAATATGCCGAATGATCCCCACTTTCCCCTACGTAAGATTCCGTTCCGTATCAATTCCATACTTTTTATTGTACATTTTTATATCATTACGGAAGTTTTATTTTAAAAGTTTGTATCTTTTGAAAAAGGTAATAGATTTAATTAGGAGGTGAAAGAATAAATAAATATCAGCAAAATGTTAACAGAGCTGGTACAAATGTAAGAACTTGACAACGCTGTTTCCGATACGCTTCAGTCCGTCCGCCAAAAAATGTATGGAAGGAAAGGATATGGAACGGAAGGGAAACGGAACGGATAGTGTGCATTGTCCCTATTCATTTACATGATATAATATTTTATGTAAACGGAAGGGAAACGGAAGGTAGCTGATAGGGAAGGTATAGTGAGAATCAACCTTAATAAGGAGACATGAGCACGCCTTTAACTTAAACAAGAAAATACCAACCATCGATAAAATTCAGAAAGTTGTAAATGAATACGAAAACTTGCCGGTTATAGGAAGAAAAAAACTGAATGAACTTCTTGTGGCAAAGTACAACCGGAAGTCTGTACTCATTTACAGAGAAGACATAATTTTTTAGGGAAGACAATATCTAAGGGATATTCCTAAATATAACAGCGAAGGAAAATATATCTTCTACATAGACGAAACATGGCTGAATGAAGGACATTCTGTTAGAAAATCTGGCTAGACAATAGCATTGGGAGTTCTCATGAAGCATTTTTAGAAAGATTATCGACTGGTTTGAAAATCCCTTCCGGGAAAGGACGCAGGTTAATTATAACGCATATTGTGGGAGATAATGGATTCGTACAGTCTCTGCAATTTGAATCTAAATCGACCAAGGATTATCGTGAAGAAATGACGGCTGATGTTTTTGAATATTACGTTTCCCAAATGATAACATTCCTTCTAGAAAACTCTGTCATTGTTATGGACAACGCCAGTTATCATTCGAGATTAAAAATTGCCAACCGCTTCTTGGAGGAAAGGGAATATAGGTTGGTTATCTCAAAAGGATATTTCATTTGAAGACGGAATGTTGAAAAAGGAGCCGGTAGGTACGGTAATAAAAGAATCGTGACAAGCGCGATTCTAACCTAACCAAACCTAACACCTAGATGTGCGTAGGTAAAAATAATTGAATATCGCGACTTAACTGCAATTTGAAAATGGTTATGTATTTTGTTTCGAATTAATGGATATTAAGTACTATTGGTTTGAGTACCCACCACGTGTAGTATAATAACAAATTGGTCTATATATTGTAATTATTGAGTTAATGATATTTAATAATGTTTTATGTAGGTTTACTATTAAACTAATTTGAATGTGACGTATGATTCAGCATTGAAACTAACAGAATTTCTGGCTTTCATTGTCTTTATTTTAACTTACACGGCTTTTCGGTCAGATGTGTCACTGACCCTTATCAAGTGAAGGGTCTAGGGTCTAGGGGAAAACATCATAAACGCCATTTTACTAATTTTACTGGAGAGCACTGGGCCCGTATTCTGTAATTTTTAAAATGCTAAGCGCTCAGCGTATATGACGTTAATTTTCGCTGAGCGCGCACTTAATTGAGAATTTCGGTATTCTTGTCTGACACGCTTAGCGTCTTTACTGATTGCGCTGAGCGCTTTGAAAACGGTTGCCTTAAAGGATCGTTTTGCTTGTCGAACTGTCAGTGAAAATAGAAAAAATTGTGATTTTGTGCGTTATCTTGCTCTTTAGTGAAAATTAGTACTTCTTCTATAAATTCCTCAATAAGTAATATAATTTACGACTTGGCAGCTATAAATATTGTTCAAAACATCGAAAATGCTGAGAAGCGTCTTCAACTCATCCCTCGTATAATAAGAATAATGACATATCCAATAGGTTATGAAATTCAGGGGGGTGACAGTAAACCGGAAAATTGGAAACAGTTGTGGCGCGGTTCTACCCAGGCAGAAAGCATGGCCTTCTAGACTGTCCTAGACAAAAATCTGAATATTTCTATATGATTTCTGTCAATTTCTGCTACGGAACATTTTTATGCACGTTGGCGTCCTGTTCTTTTGTCTTTTGTCTGTGTGTCAACGTCAGCTCCCGAGGCCTCTGGCAAGGTCGGGCGCCATTTTAATTTTTGCCATTTAGATTTGATTGGAAGTTTGTTTCTGATATTTCGGCTGAAATTTATAAGTACAAATATGTTTTTTGATATAAAGTTCCTTGTTAACACTTTAATAAAGTATATATGATATTAATTACATGAAGAAAATGATGAAATCGACGTTTCTGCGTGTAGTAGGTATGGGCCATATTATATGTAAAAGTAGGTAATATATTAACTGTTTTTATATTTTTTAGCTTTAAACCCAAGGATCTTGGGATATTCTTTGCCAAGGATTTTTCCGTATCTCTACTTTAAAGACTGATCGGTGATTTTGAGCAATTGAAAGCAAGTTATACAAGGTAAATTATGATTATTGAACTATTATTAGCCTACATTAATTTTCTACAAGATGAACAGAAATGCGTAATTACATATCACATAGGTAGGTACCTATTATGTATTTTCATAGCAATAATGCTATAAATCTATGTATGTAGATTATTTTTAAAATACAAATGAGGTATTAGATGTATATGTATCATATTTTTTATTCATTTTATTTTCATTCAAGTCCTGTTTGATTTAATTCACAAAAGTCTTATGTGCCTATATTTATGTTTTTTACATATTTTTTTTTGATTTCAGGTTTTGTGTGGGTTCCGGTTGCCTTTTTCCTGCTTCCAGTTATTTAGTTTTATGCCCGTGAAGCTGTGAAAACATTTATTTATCTTCAAGTTTCTGTAAGTCAATGCACTGTTACTTTACTAATTCACTTTAACACCAGCATCTCTGATATTATTTAAATATTTGATATTGATACAGTAGTTTATTGGATTATAGCTCTTTAATTGTGTTGATTTGCATATTTACATTGTTCTAAATTCCAAATAAATATTTTTGAGTAATTTTGTTGTATTATTTACTACTAGAAAGAGTAAAATGTATATTAACCCTCATTTAAACCTCCTGAACAGCCCGCCATTAAAAACCAGAAACGGAAATAAATTTCATAAAATTGAAATTGTCATGTCTATGTCATGTCAAATGTCCCAGCCGCCATATCTGAAAATTAGTTACCCAGGCAGCCACGCTGTTTCCATAATTTAACATTGACTTGACACTTCTTCTTGTATTTATTATTTTATGATGAAATTCACGTAACATTGACATTTTTCATTGTTACATTCGTCAGTTTGGTCAGTTATCAACTTTTGACTATCAGCTACATTAGAAATTGTGATGTTGCCAATATGTGCTCGACGCGTATCCAGAACACGATTCGCATGGCAACGAGAATACCAAAATCGACTGCCTTGCGTTTCGCTGATCGAATACTTGCGCTCACCGCTTTGAAAGCGTAACGTTTTTATGTCAAAGTTACAGAATACAAGTCCTGGACGGCTGGTGGTTATCAGGTTCTTTCCGTGTATTCTAGATTTTTACTAAGCATATATCATAGGATTTAACAAGTAGTTTCGAGATAAAAAAAAATAATATATAAAATAAACCATGTGTTACATTGGCAAAAGCATGGTCTTGAATAAGCATTGGTAATTTCATGAATTGAGCATTTTTAAAGTTGAAATTTGGGTTATAGTTTAGGGAATTCCAACCTGACAATTATAGTTTACCAATTTAGAGACCCTCTAAAATTGACTCCAATAATAAACTTTACGCCATATTGACATTTCTGGAAAAATCCTATATGGGTATTTCGCCACTGCAAGACAATTACAAAATAAAATAGTCATTTTTTGTAAAACTTCTGCGTTAATCCAAACGGAAACTACTTGTCAGAAGTTAGGTTTACAGATATACAAATTTGCCTAACGAACTAAAAAATGCAGTGGCGAAACTACCCATATAGGATTTTTTGGAGAGATGAATCCGCCACATAGGTATATACATTTTTTATATTGACATTATTATCTTATTTTTCTTTGCAGATACATTCCTACGAGGTTATGGGGTTTCAGTGGGCACGTGCAAACGATTCTTCACAGTGTGATAGGAAGAGTGAAATGTCCGTGGCCAATGGGTGAAAGAGTTTTCCTAACGTTGTCCGATGGTACAACGTTAACCTATGATATGTATCAACCCTTAGACACAAACTTTCCCGGTAAGTAATTCTGATAGTTTTGTTTGAAAAACCTTTTTGAAAAAGTTACTGTGTGTGAATTGATGTATTGAAACTTTTTTGTATTTATTAACTTTTTTTTCTATTTAAGTCTGCATCATATGAGATTTTATTTTATTTATTGATTTAGGTCAAGTTTTAATTTGGCATTAGTTTTTGCTTTAAGTTAATATTTAAAAAAGTTGTTTCTTTTTAATTTTACACAAATACATTAATTTTCAGTCATCTAGATGAAAAATAAAATTTCGTCATTTTTAACCAATAGCAGCCGATTCTTGTAGTAGAAGCAAAAATAATTATTGATGGTAGTCCGTTTGTGCGTTTGTTAGCCAAATATTTATCTAATTTATTAAATCAGTCAGTAGTTTTTAGAGAAAAATACATTTAGTTGTAAAAAATAGACTATAAAGTGATGCAAAATATGAATAACTTTCGTCTATCGAGATGGGGCCATGAAATTTATATTTGTACATGCTTGAAACTTTTTTGCAGAATACTAAATGTTAAAATGTATTTTTCATAGCCTTTTTATAGTATTGTTTTGATTAGACATTGTGATTATACCGGGTGTTGCATCGTCGGACGGGATATAGGAAATCCCATGTAAATTTTAACGGGGTCAATTATTGGCTTCCCTAATTATTTTAGAGAATAGAGTTTAGAGAAGGTTTATTGAAGAGCACTAAAACCCACATTCAAAAGAATAACTTTAGATATTTTTGATTAGCTCGTTTACGAGTTATCGCCGATTTCTTTTTAAATATTTCTCCTTTCTTATGGTCCTGTATTTACTTATGAGCACCAGTCAAGGTAAAAGATAACTGTCAAATGAAGTTGTCATTTCAGAAATTTACCTATTTAGTGCTTTATTATTATTGAAAACTCATTCCTACATCGGAAATCTTAAAGATTTATTTATAAATACAAATTAATATGAATTGAAGTAAAATAAAGTAATAAATTACAAGGTTAATTACAGTATTATTACAATATTCAATAACTTATTAATTTAGGTACTACTAAATTGTTAGAACTTTAGAATTTAAGAAGATGTTCAAATATTCCTCCATCATCGACTGCTAGACAATAATCCAGGCGATCATAAAATTCTCTTCTTACATTCGCTAGTTGGTAAACTGAAATTCTATTGCATTCGGCAGAAATAGCATTTTTTAACTCGTCTAGGTTTGGGTATTTTTTATCCTTGTATATCCTGTTTTTTAAATGGCCCCAGAGAAAGAAATCATTTGGCGAAATATCAGGAGACCTTGCTGGCCAATTTACTGTATGATTTAGGCCAATAACGTTTTCGTTAAAACTATTGTCTAAATATTCCCGAACAACCAGGGTACTATGTGCCGGGCAGCCATCCATTTGGTACCAAACTTCCTGATTTTCCCTAGCGGCATCATGTAAAGCATGTAAAATATGATTTTCGAGTAGTTCCAAATAATATTCTGCATTTAAATTTTGCGTAAGAAATAATGGCCCGATAATATTGCGAATATCCCTAACCAAACATTTACTTTCTGTGGATATTGCGTCCTTGTTTCGACAAACCTGTGTTGGTTTTCTTTGTTCCATTATCGATAATTTTGAACATTGGGTTCATTATTTAAGGTAAACGATGCATTCGTCAGTGAAACATATGTTTTTAAAAATTCCCTATCCGTGTTTGCTCTTTCCATCATATCAAAACAAAAACGCCTGCCGCCGTATTTCGTCCCCATCTCGTAGCTCTTGGTGCTTTCATATTTGAAGGAATATTTTTTTTTGTCGTTTCAAAATTCAGAAACGCTGTAGTGTGATCTATTCCTATTTCATCCCTCAAGTTTCCTTGTGCTGATCTTTCCATCGTTCTCTTCCACGCACAGTAAAACTTCCAAGTCGGTATCATTTCTTGAATCTTCTCTTTGTTCCTGCCTTGCTTCACATCTGCAGTTATTTATTAGGGTACCTTTGGTCTCAAATTTCTGGATATTCCTTGCGATTTTATATTTTCCAGGTATCGGGCTATTCGGATACAGATTGAGGGCAGCAAACATGTCCGACACCTTTTGATAACTATTTCCTTGATAATACCATTTAATCATCAATACTTTTTCTTCGGTAGTATAATTCATGGCTAATATTTTCGATATAGGTATGAGTTTTTAATAATAATAATAATAATAAAGCACTAAATCGATAAATGTCTAAAATGACAACTTCATTTGACAGTTATCTTTTACCTTGACTGGTGCTTATAAGTAAATACAGGGCCATAAGACAGAAGAAATATTTAAAAAGAAATCGGCGATAACTCGTAAACGGGCTAATCAAAAATATCTAAAGTTATTCTTTTGAATATGGGTTTTAGTGCTCTTCAATTTCCTATGTCCTGCTCGACGATGCAACACCCGGTATAGCCTCTGATCAAATTAAAATGAACGTGTTATAAAAAATTGTTTAACTAACTCACTACTTTAGCGGGCCTGATTTTTAAAGAAAATCTAAACGTAAGCTGTGTAATTAAAGAGAGAAAATATAGAGGAATGATGTCACCTCGATATATCGAAGAATTATTCATAGTTTGGCATCATGCAACGTAACTTTTAGTAAAAAAGTATAAATTTATTATAGATTATTTATGGATATTTAACTAAGTATATACTAGATAAATATTTTACTGTTAAAGGGGCTCTCATCAGTAATTTTTGCTTCTATCACGATAATCGGCTACTATTGGTTAAAAATTAATTTTTTTTTCATCTAGATGGCTGAAAATTGGCATATTTATGTAAAATAGAACAAGAAACGACTTTTTCAAATAAAAATTTTCAAAATTCTGCCAAGAACCCTTTTTAGCGATGTATTACTTTATATTTGAAATTGGACAGATATCCGAGAGCAACAGGTGAAATTTTCTGATGTAATTTTTAATATAAATCAAAGCAGAAATTATTGCCGAAGTCAATAAATAAAAAGAAGTTAAATATGATGCAGAGTTTATCTGTGTCACTATATCAAATATTTAAAAGTATATAAACTATGTACCTTTCTACAGATGCGAAGTTAATTGCTTAATTGTCTAGATAGTATACCTCATACTTACAAATATAGTCGCTAAATCAAACTAGAACAGTTATCTTTCATTGCGAACTTTTACAAACAGTTTTGGAGACTGAATGTTAAACATTAATAAAAGTAAGTTATCCTTTTTTAGGATGCGAGGCTGGGGTCTTAAAAGGCAGTAACTTTTCCCTACAGCCACTATGTAAAACGCACGGTCTACAAATAGCTTATTACGCATGGTAAGCAAACCGCACGGAATACACATACTTTAGGCGGAAATCACTTCGCGAAATTCAAACAAACGTTTAACTGAGTATTAAACATCAATAAAAATTATCCTTTTTTAGGGCAATCTGGTGGTCTTAAAGGGCAATCGTTTTTACCTCTGTCACTGTGTAAAACAGGCGGAAATGCACTATCTATCCGTGCGGTAAGTAACTTGTTACACACGGTAAAAAAATGGTACGCAAAACGCATATTATCTGGGCAACAATCGCTGCGCAACAAGCTTTCGTTATAGCAACACCCAAATTCGAAAAATCTTTGACTTTACCTAAAAACTATGCATTTAATTTTGTAGTAAATTTCATCTTACGTAAAATACAGGGTGTCATTGAAATGGTGTAAAATAAAATTTTAAAGCAATAAGATGTTTTAAAAATCATGAAATTTTGATTTTACAATTAATTATTTACTAACTACTTAGTTACTTTTGAACCGCCATAACTTTCATAAGTTTATGTTGATTACCAGTTAGCAACCCATCAGAGCAAACTCTTTGCCTTCAATTTTCTCGAAAACCATCGCTCTGGGCGATGTGCAACAAGAGTACCTTTTTTGTAGGAAAAAGTATGTAGTTTTCAAAAAATGAACCCACGTTGCAAAAAAAATAACCTCAAAAAAGTTATTCACAAAACAACCCCCTACCCTTGCAAAAACTACCCTTTCCGCTTTTTCAAATAATTTTTCAGTATCACCATTTAATTTAGGGTCAAAATTTATGGCAGAGGATTTTTTTTCGAAATTTTATCTCGTTTTATAAGCCTGCAATTTCAAAACAACCGTTTTTTAAATTCACCCTTTCAGTGCCCCTAACTCCCTTAATATGAATTTTCCGCCCTATACTTATATAGGATCTTTTTTTTTACTATTTTTAGGAGTACTATCACACCCTGATTTTTTTACACCATTTCAATGACACCCTGTATAGTACCGTCGATAGAAGAAATAAGAAGATGCGCAAAACCTGTCCGAGATGTAGATGCGCAAAACCTGCCCCAAATGATTTTGGATACAGTACGTTAATAATACTGATTTTCTATGATTAAATACTTTAATATAATATTATATGATTAAACAAAGAACGGCGTCAGAGATGGCTTGGAAAGCAAGATCGCTGTTAAATCATATGTAAAATATTATGTAAATGTCAATAGTCGTTATTTTCAAGCCAACTAAACGACTTTTTTCGATCATACGAAATATTCAGTACCTGAAATTTTTTTTTATTTTTTTTGAATAAATTCTCAATACATAAACACGGATTTTTCATCCAAAGATATTATCGTGAAACGTATTACAGATATTACACATTTTAATATGGCAACACTGTCGCTTTTAGTTCACACCGTCTTCATATGCCTTCCCTAGCCGAATGAAAGAAAATGAGTGTTTTATGCATTGGCTACAGAACGAGTAGAGACTCCACCGTACAGCACTTGAGACTTAAGGGGAAATCACGCCTTGTAACGAATTTGCCCATTAGGTTGCGTATCTTTCCAATTAAAAAGTATATTGATAAATAGATTTTTCATGTTTGTTTTGCAATTCTTTTGGTGTGTTTTGTTTATATACCCTTATAACTCTAATTCTTTACGCTCCCGAAGAAAACATAAACAATGTCCAAATATAGAGCTTTGTGGAAGAGA